AACCGTGAATTTTGTGTATCGTTGCACCCCTAATTATTTCATGCCTGTTTCTGTCATTTAGTAAAGAATAATGACATTTCTACTGGTACATAAATCACATTTATGCAAATAGTCCACTGATTCTTGGTTAGATGTGGGCAGTTTCCTAACCACAGATCCAGTCACACAGAGACTGGTCAGCGACCTCTAACAACTGGTTTGCATGTGGTTGCTGCAGGTTGCAGGGAGTTGCGAGGTACTTAAAACCTGCTTGTACCTTCTGAGATGGTGAAGCACGAGCACTACAGCACGGCCTGTGTTGCAGACAGCTCGGTGTCTATCAAGGACTACAAGTGACTGCAGCAATCTGCAAGCAACCAAAGCAACTACCACTAGGAACCTCTAACAACCACTCCCAGCCAGTTGGCAAACACATATTTTCCAGATAGATGGATCTCAATCAATCAGGATTTGGCCCAGAAGCTGATATCCAGCAGAGAATTACAGAAGGTGTGAATAAGAAGGGTCAACACTATGAATATTGACTCTCTGCATAAAGAAATTACTGAAATATTTAACTGAAGAGGGCAATCACAGTCTGCAAACTAAAAGTAAATTTACAGCCAAACCCCTTTTGCTGTGAAAATGAGCATGTTTCAGGTTTAAATTATGTGGCTAATACAGTCCGCTTTAGGCTTTCGTACTAAAATCAGTCAAATAAAAGTTGAGTTTAGCACAAAGTCCTCGACTCGTACCTGGTTGAGCTGCAGTTCTGGCAGAAGTTTTGGCCCCTGGAGTCTGAGACTTTGCACCGCTCTGAAAGTCACCACAACACTATTTTAGTTTCCAGCAGAGAGACGCCTTGGAGATGGTTAAATGCAGTAACATTGCACACTAAACAGTGAGCAATTGATGAGTCGTTTCTTCATATAATGTTCGGTGATAATAGAGGGAGGAATCAGGTTGCAGTCCATGTTTTTCTTTGACCGTTTCAAACAAGATTCAGTCAGCGAGTGTGAAGAAAACTGAGCGAGTCAGTCGGCTCACGTCTGAGCTCTAAGCTGCATTCAGACCTGTACTTACTCCAGGCTGCCTGGGCCCTGTGCTGCTGACTTTAACGGGGATCGAGCTGTGGCCGTTTCGGGAGGATGCGGGTGATTTGGCGCCCTTGGCGGTTATGGACGGGGAAGAGGTCGGTGTGGTGGCAGTTTGAGTCTTTTTCATGAAGAGGAAGAAATGAATGAAAAACAAAAGGTCGAATGACAATGACCACAAAACAAAAGAATGATTAAAAATAACTGAAAGATGATAAAAATAAAGGATTTTTTTATGACTTGAATAAAATGTTCTGGTTTATTATAACTTGGATTTTGTTTTTACACAAACACGTGTAGTGCCAAGAGAGGGGATAGTCCTAATATGGTCATCTCAGGCACAGAAGCCCCACCTCCCTGCTGTTTAGATAGGGCGTCCAATCCTATTTATTCTTATTATTATACTTGGGGTGTGCTATTGGGCAAATCAGGCAGGTGCATGAACCAGCTTTTATAGAGTCGTTGGTTCAAGTCAAGAGGCATCATCCTGGGAAATGAGGCCAGTGTCTAAAAACTGCAATTCCTCCTGTGGCCACTTGAGACTTGCTCCAAATGTGAGTGAATCTCATAGACTTGCATGTTAAAATGTCCAACACAGGCAGGTGTAGCTGCTAGCTGCTTATTATGAATTGCTTATTATTATATTGGTGCTTTTGCAGCATTTTGATGGGATTATCTAATATATAAATATTATAGTTTGCAGTGTTTGTGCTCCAGTTTGAGCTAAACTGCAGTATTTTCTTAGTCTGATAATAAAACAGTAATTACTGAGAGTTAAATGTTGAATATATGTGATAGACATGGGTAATAATATGTCGTGTTTGTTAACTAAAGAAAATAAAACCAAAGGTTTTAATAAACCAGAATATTTCACAACAACTAAAAGGCGTAAAGAAATGAGCGACTGAACCTAAAAAATGCCGTTGGTGACGTACCTTATCTCCGTTATCCATCACTCCTTGAGCTATAGAAAAGAAATAGAAGCAAATTTTAGCTTTTGGCACCTTTTTTTAAAAGTTAATATCTATATTATTATTTCATATCCACCCAAGTGCAATAAGTCAAGACTTTTGCTTCCATGAGCGTGCCAGAATGCATTCTCATGGAAAGTGAAATGAGTGATGTTGGGTATGCAGCATGCAAGAAAACACATAAAACAAAAAGGTGGCTTTTTTTAGGGCTGCATTACCAGCAAAGTGAGCAGAGATGGAGAGATGAAAGAAAAAAAGCTAAAGTGGGGGGAGGGAGGACGACAAGCTTCTCCTCGGGTCAAAGTTAACGTCCATAGAAACACTTCGGAGGGAGAGTGCCGCATAACACAGAGCAGAAGCTGCGTTGGAAATCAAAGGAGTGGGAGGAGTGAACTGAAGAGGACTGGTTCTGAACTGGTGAACATGACAGCACACAGACCTTTGAAAACAGCGACCGGCACCAAAGACTTTCTGGCTCGGGTGCTTTGGGGGGGCGTTTTCTGGAGCTCGGCGGTGCCGGTGGTCTGAGCCACACCGCTCCTCATCTCTGAGTCATTAGAAATGTCAGGCTTTGAATAGCTGGCTGTATGTAACGATGAGTCACCGCTGTTTTCAGCTGCCGTGTCAGCTGGCAATTTGTTAAAAAGGCGCTTGTTCTTGGAAAGGTCTTCACGATGAGAATCGGAGCTAGACTGGAGCGCACTTTGCGTGTGAGGTGTTTCTGACGTGATATTTCTGCTTCCGGAGTCACCGAGGGGCTTCGGAGCTGCTCCTTCAGCAGGCAGTCCATCGTTTGTTTCTTTAGAAATGAGCTCCTCGCCCTGAGGAACACACAAGTTTCTGTCCCCAATGGATGTCAGGTCCTCCAAAGCTGTGCTGCGGATTAAAGACATTCCAGCGAGGTTGCTCATTTCACTGAGGCACTCGGAGGCGTCGAGGCTGATGGCCCTCTGAGGATCTGCAGCTCCTGCCCACTCAGGGTTCCCCCTGCTGGCCGGCATGTCCCGTTTAATCTCTGCCCCGCAGCTGAGGTCTTCAGAGACCCACGAAGACTCACTTAGCCTCTTCCCACACTCTCCCACTGCTTTGCTTCCTGGGTCCAGAGAGCAGGAAGCTCCCATGAAGTCAACGCCCTTCCCAGCGTCTCCGTGCAGATCGGGCTCTGCAAATCCAAACTCACCGCGGACTCCAGAACCAGGCCTCGCTAATTTGTTTGGAAAGCAGATTAATGGTGACATTCACAGCAGCACTTGTTATCCATCTCCCCAATGAAACAAAAAAAAAAAGAAAGTGGAGAAGTGATGAAGGAAAACAAAAGACTGTTTGATTACCCAGAACAAACACCAGACACTCAGAGAGCTGTGAGCGGTGATGATGCAACACAACAAACCCAGAAGTGATTAAAGGTGGAAAAGTGTGAGTTCACATGAAAACAAAATAAAAAATAATGCATCACAGTTGGGTGTCAGACGGAGAGATGATGCATTCCAGTGAACACAACACACAGACCGGTGATTTATGCTGTTACAGAACGTGATTAAAATGTGACGTAAAGCCTTTCTGAGCCGACTTTAGCAGTGCAAAAATAACGTATAACACCCCACAACGGACCTCTAAGTACACACACGAGTCTGGAGTGTTTCACAAGAACATATTTGGACATTAATATCGTAGCGTTATGCAAAAACGAATCATTAAATGATCACACAAAGAAGCAAATTTCCACATCCTGACATTAAATGATAAAAACCTTAAACAGTTATGTAGCTAAATACCTATATTATTATACTATAAATTAATTTTTCCTTAAACATATAAAATTATCCATTAACTTGTTTGATTTGTATTTAATTGTTATTTTAAGTAGTAGGACGAGCCACTGGATTCAGGGATGCCAGGTCATGATGGAGAGCGGACCACAGGGCCGTTGCTAAAGCAGGTTTAGCCCAGTGCAGAGCTGTTTCTATTCAGTTTCATTTACAGATGTGTCATTTTTCTTTTTCTAGTTTGGTTTTTCTTTAGTTGGCTGCACTGCATCCAACACACTGAGCCGCGGTTGTGGAGAAAGGAATAAATATTTATTTCTGCCTCCACCAGTCGGTCAACCTTCACAGTGACCTTGAGCCCGAGGACAGTTTGAGGGAAGACGCACTAAGCGGTCACTGTGTGCAAGTTTCGTTAAAATATGACGAATATTCTGAGCCTAGAAGAAACTGGACACCTTGCCGTGGCACGAGGTCATCAGTCCTTCAGCTGAATTAGCCAAAAACATAAATTCCTTCGACGTTGATACAATACGGAGGCTATCCGTGTACACCGACGTGTCAGGACTACATTTACAGTATCTGGTCAAACGGTCAATATCAGAAAAACAATTCATTATAACACATTTTCCCTTTAAACTGAAAATAATGTTCAATTCCAGGAATCTCAAATTGAAAACTGCAGATGCTGAAATCTAAAAAAAAAATTGAAAATATAAAAAATGTAACAACTGAATAATAATTATAAAAAAGTGCTTTATTGTTTCTTATTGTTACCGTTATGGGTGAGGGTTAGTGCCGTTTTAA